ACGCACAACTCACATGTGCAATTTTTTAAAGTCGACACAAGCAATCCGACTTTATGGTTAGAAAAGGGCACCATAAGAAAGTGGAATGTGGAAGAGGTGTGAGCTCCTTCAGAGCTAGGATGGTTCATGGTGCAGAGGACCCAACTGCCTCCTGGGGTCCACGGACACTTTGTAGCGAATATTTAGCTTTGTGGCAAGCCTTTTGTGATCTTTGCTTTAACCATCTTTAAAGTTACAGGAACCCTATTAGACGTTTCTATCATCACCCTTTTCCTTCCTTGAATTTCCAGCTTCCTTGAATGGGGAAACTTGAGGCTAAAGTTTTCACAGCTAGGAAGGTGGCAGCGCCAGGAACTGGGTCCATGTCTGTATGTGGACCAAAACCATGCTACCTCTCTAGTCTGTGAGGATGCAGAACCTCAGGCTCCGAAATAAATACTGTTTTTCTGAGACCTCAGGAATTAGCTTCAGGAATTTCTCAGCTGGTAAAAATGATGAGATTTGGGGGAAAAAACTATTGAAGAAGGCTATGCAATGTCTTTTCCTGAATTCCCCACCATATGGCGCTCCTTTGGGAAGATGGACCCTTCAGTTCAGTTCAGTTCAGTCGCTCGGTTGTGTCCAACTCTTTGCGACCCCGTGAATCGCAGTACTCCAGGCCTCCCTGTCCATTACAAACTCCTGGAGTTTACTCAAACTCATGTCCATCAAGTCAGTGATGCCATCCAGCCATCTCATCCTCTGTCGTCCCCTTCTCCTCCTGCCCCCAATCCCTTCCATCATCAGGGTCTTTTCAATGAGTCAACTCTGCATGAGGTGGCCAGAGTATTGGAGTTTCAGCTTCAGCATCAGATGGACCCTTAGCACACATGAAAAAGTTGACTCTTGTAATCTTTCAGGGTACATATGACAGTTTTCTAAACTTTGCCATGTTGTAGAAACTTTTCAGAGGGATGTTTGTAATTTGTTAGAGAGGGCACTCTGAAAAGTAGGACAAGTGTGTGCTATTTCATAAAGCAATATATTACTGAATATGGGCTTCCCAGGTGGCATAGTGGTAAAGAATGAGACTGCCAATGCAGGAGACACGCAGGTCCAGTCCCTGGGTCGGGAAGATCCCCTGGAGGAGGAAATGGCAACTCACTCCAGTATTCTTGCCGGATAATCCCATGGACAGAGGAGCCTGCTGGGCTATAGTCATGGGGGTTGCAAAGAGTCAGACATGACTGACTGATGCACGGAGAGGAGAGAGGGATATTACTGAATATACTAAGTAAAATTTTCTTTAGGACCAGCTGAAAAGTACCACATGTTCAGGGCCATAATCAGATGGAAGCAGGTGTGTCCTGTAGACAGAGGGGTTCCAGGAATCTTTCTGGACTTAGGCTAGTTTCTTCTCTGGGATTAGGGCAACATTGTCACAGCTCAGTTATGTCCTCGTCCAGAGAGATCCCTCTATTGCGCTCAGTTGAGGAGAGCCTTTACCCTGGGGCTGAGGGCAAAGTTTATATGAAAATTATGAAAAGGAACACTTACAAGTAAGGGCCAATGTAAATAAGTCATCAAGTGTTGAAGGGTTAGCATATATATTAGAATGAAAAAAACAACTATGCAGCTTTCCAGAATGGTGATTGCTATGTAGGACTCTGGGGCTTCGGCAATGATGAAAAAAATGAATGCCCCTATGAGAAGACCCTGCAGTAAACAAACAAACAAACAAACAGGATTTGTTTTAATGCAAATGGGCTATTAAACAAAAAACAGAACCAAACCATAAATGGTCAGAGTGCAAATCTGATTATATTGCAATGGCCTGTATTGTTTGGCACATATATGTTAGTTTTAAAATTCCTTTATGTTTCTTAAGAAATGAAATAACACACACAAATAAAAAATGCACACAGTACAGAAGCTTCTTTCTCCTCCCTTGTCCCAATCCTAGTGTATCTCCTTAAAAGTAATCAGTGTTAACTGTGTATATTTCATGCCAGAAAGAACTGTGTATATATAGGCCAAGTGAAGTAAATATATATTGATTTTGAGAGAAAGAATGAGATAAAATCCCACCTTTCTTTCTTTCCGAACACCTGCTGATTATCCCAATGTCATTTGTTGGGAAACACCACTGATCTGAAATCCAACTTTATCATATACTAAATTCTCATATGTATTTGATTTTGAAACTCTTTTCCTATATTGAGTTGCTGACTTTTCTAGTACTTTTGAAATTATAAGTTGCTTGTATAAGTTGCCTGGCTTGCACCCCCTTTCAGTACCTATTCTCAGGTTGTTTATGTTTCTTATTTTTGTCTTGATCAAGTTCCCCAAACTAAGCCTGTTGGTATTTTAATTGGAATTTCCTTTAACTTATAATATGGAAAGATTACAAAATTTAGTCTGACCCTTCAAGAACAACGTATGTCTTTCCAGTTATTTTAGTGGTTTTAAAAATATCTCTCAATAGAGTTTTAAAGTTTTCTTTGTATAGGTCCTTCAAATTTATTTCATTTAATCTTAGATATTTTACCATCTTGATTGTTGTTGTAAAGAGAAATATTTTCTTCTATTCTAAGTGCTTGTTTGCTCATTTCTACTAAGTTAGTAGAAATTATTGTATTCTAGAGTGTTTCCCAGTCAATTTTATTTTTAGATCTTTGATCAGATCAGCTGTAAGAAATGATATATTTTGCCTTTTCAAATAGTCTTACTTATTCCTTTTTCCTGTGTGATTGTGATGACTAGTGTTTTCAGCAAAACACTGAATAATAGCATTAATAGTGGGCATCCTCTTTATTTTTAATGGGAATACTTCTCTCATTTTAATGGGAATACTTCTGAGGTTTAATTATATATGATACTGATTTTGGGGTTTATTTTATAATGTCAGTGAAATATCAATATATTCCTAGTTAACTGGTCTTTCTCTCTTCTTCCCTTGCTCACTTTTTTTGCAGTCAGAGATGAATGTTGAATTTTGTCAAATGTGTTCTATACCCTCTTTGATAGGTGTCTTAATTTTTTCTCCTTTTACTTATGATGGATTTGTCTAACAGAGTCCTAATATTGAATCATCCTTATGTTTCCTCTTCATGATGTGTTTTTAAGAAGTACCAATGAATGTTTTCTGCTAACGTGCTAATATTATTGCTTTGGTACTAGTGAGATTTCTATTGAATATTTTACTTTTCTTCTTCTGAATTTGGTCAGGGTTGAGGTCAATGTTACACTGACTTTATAAAAACAGTTTAGAAGTGTTTCTTTTTTCTCTAGTCCTTGAAAATGATTGAATAGTATCAGAATTGCATCCTATGAAGGTTTGAAAGGATTAACCTGTGAAAAAGTCTAGGCCTGATTGTTGTTGTTATTCAGTTGCTAGGTCCTGTCTTAATCTTTGCAACCCCATGAGGTGCAGCACACCAGGCTCCCCTGTCCTTCACTATCTCCCGGAGTTTGCTCAAACTCATGTCCATTGAGTTGGTGATGCCATCCAACCAGCTCAGCCTCTGTCACCCCGTTCTCTTGCCCTCAATCTTCTGGGCCTGATACAATTTTGAAATATTCCTTCCTGTGTTTATATTGGTCTGTTTTGATTTTTCTCTATTCTAGGATCAGTTTTGGTAACATACTTTCCTAGAAAATCAACTCTTTGACCCAATTATTCACATTTGTTTTGCAAAGTAACTCTTGTGAATCCTTTCAGTTTCTTCCCCGTTTACAGTATTTTCCCTTTCTGGTTTCTACTTTAAATACATGTCCTTCCCCACCCCACCCCCTTTTTTCCTGTTATATGGACCAGTGGTTTACCAGTTTTACTGGTCAATTCTATTATTTTTGTTTTTTAACTTACACTTTCCTGCTATTATCCCCATTGCTTCCCTAATTCCCTTTGTGAGGGAAAACCTGAGAAATATATGAGTGAGGGATTGGGGGTGGGTGGGTAGCGTGCCAAATTTAGTAGCAAGGCTTGAGTGCGTGGGAGGAGTCAGGGGAGAGGCGGAAGAAAGGTGAAGACTGGGAAAGGGAATTAGGGAAGCTTCCCCCCAGGTGGCGCACCCCTGGGAATCACTCACTCCCAGAGGCCAAGTCGGCCTGCTTCCACCCTTGCATCTGCCCAGCGGGTCACCCGCTCTCTCTGCTCACCATCCTAATGATCTTCAAGGCTCCTGTGGGCGAGAAGAAAAAACGCTTGACGCTGTCCCTGAATTTGGGCGGGACTTTGGCCCGGCCCTCAGCACGCTTTTGGATGGCCTCCTTCTCTTCTTGGCTGAGGGTCGCGGGGGTTGAAGGCGGCTTGAGTACGGATGCTGAGGGCGCCGCGCTGACGCCGCGCTGGGAGAGTGTGGATCGACCCGAGCGCTCGGGATGCGCCCCCTCTGCGATGTGTACGGAGCGCAAGAGAGTCCCCCGGGGTTTCGAGCCCTTCAAAGGTGGGTTGTCCTTTTTAGCATCCATGGTGGACCCCTGGGCCTGGTGGTGTCTCACGGGCCCTGGGGCTCTGAACCTTGCACGGCGGCGGCCAGCCCTCCTCTGGGAACCAGCGTCTCGCCCCAACGGCTGCTGACCGCCTCTCCCTCGCGGGCGCACGCAGCTGTCGCTCCCCGCGGATAAACCCAGCCCCCCAGACACCCTCGCAGCCGCCGGCAAGTGACGCCGGGGAACTCGAGATCCCCGCAATGCCGCCACCTCCGTCTTGCCAGCCAGCCGAGGGGAGTGGGCTCTGGGGACCATTTCGGGCGGTCCGGGCGCTTTCTCCTTCTGCCTCCCCGCCCCCCACCCACCTTGGGCCCAGGAGTAGGAAAAGGGATCCGATGCGATTCAGGCCGGATTCCCAGCGCTTCCTTGGAAGTTACAGTGCCAGTGAGCGCTGGACGCACAGTTCCTGAATCTCTTCTTCCAGCTCCCATATAGAGATGAAAATGAGAACTGCAGAAAGTATGTGTTAGAAAAAGAGATATGTTTAATACTTAGCATCGACTAAAACGAATATAAATTTACAAAACTCATAGTTTGTCATGAGCATCAGTTTTCTGATAAGGACCACTTGGATTAAACAGCAGCTTCCGGTAAATAAGTGCCCCATCGGCAATAGAGAACACTGAGGCCGCGAGTCCAAACACCTGAAACAAAGACACAGTGTCACTGCTGATGGCCACGGTCACACAGGTTTTAAGTGGCCTGCCTGCCAGCTTCCTCTCCTGTTAGGGTTCCCTATGCTGTCATCTAATACTAGAATGGGAAGAGATTTCAGAGATCATTTTATTTGCATTCTCAAGTTTTCCCAGTACCTTCCTAGAGAAAGGGAAAGATCATTTAAGTGAGCAGAAACCAATACTGAAGTGGTGTGGGCTCTGAAGCAAATACTTGTCTGGATCTCCTGTTCCCCGATATTACTGTTTAAAGCCCTACTGATAATATTTAGTTACTAATAAACATTTCTATACCCAATGTTCAACTGTTCCATTTTTCTATTGCAACTGTACCAGATAAAAAGTCAGGGTTAACATCAGCTCAAGAGTTAAGCTGTGATAAGAACTTTGGAGAACTGGAGTGATGAGATGATCCAAAGTGAGCTCTCCAAGGCTGGGCCACATCCACATAAGGGGTGAGATTCTAAATAAGCCTCAGGAAATACTGAGTAAAGGGAATTAACTGGTACATGGTCTTTAGGTTCTCTGATGGCTATTTGAGAACCGGGCTGGAGAGAGGGATGTCAGTGCTATCACCAGCTCCATCCAACTGCCCAGGAGGTCTGGCTTCAGATTCTGTCCCTTTCCCATCCTGAATCTCAAACACAGCTTCCTAGATTCTGATCATGCTAAGTATTTGGTTGCCCAAAAAAGTCATTTGGGTTCTCCCATAAGATGTCACTGGAAAACCTGAATCAACTGTTTGACCAACCCAACACTTATTACAGATGCTTTCATGACTCTGCTACTGAGCATGCTGCTGGTTTCTCTGCCGGTAAGCATCTGTCTTTCTTCCCCTTTATTCCTGGCGAACTATGATTCCACTGCCAGAGAGAGGTCCTGTTGTTGTTATTTAGTTGCTATGTCGTGTCTGACTCTTTAGCGAACCCATGGACTGTAACTCACTGGGTTCTTTTGTCTATGGAATTTTCCAGGGAAGAATAATGGAATAAGTTGCCATTTCCTTCTCTAGGGGATCTTCCTGACCCAAGGATGGAACTCCAGTCTCCTGCATTGGCAGGTGAATTCTTTATCACTGAGCCACCTGAGAAGCCTGCCAGACAGAGGTAGTTGCTTCCTTTTGCTTGTGCTCCATAGTACTCCATTAACAACTTAAATACAGCTGTTTGCACTTTTGTCTCCTGTATTAAGCTTTAAGCAACTTGAGGATAGGGGTCACATTCTAGTTCAGAGCCATCCAAAAGAAATACGAGTTACCAATGTAAACCACATAATTGATCTAAAAATTTCCAATTTCCACATTAAAAAGTAAAGAAGAAACAAGTGAAATTAATTTTAATAATATACTTTATTTAGCCTGATATAGGAGAAGGAAATGGCAACCCACTCTAGTATTCTTGCCTGGAGAATCCCAGGGACAGAGGAGCCTGGTGGGCTGCCATCTATGGGGTCGCACAGAGTCAGACACAACTGATGCGACTTAGCAGCAGCAGCAGCCTGATATATCCAAAATAATATAATTTCAACATACCAACACTATAATAAAATTATAAGTGAAATATTCTACATTCTTTGGAGGGAGTAGTAAGTCTTTGAAATCCAATGTGTATTTTACATGTGCAACTTATCTCAGTTCAGACCAGCCACATTTCCAGTGCTCAGCCACCTGTGGCTTACGGCTCTATACTTTGTCAGCACCTACCAAAGTGCACTTAAAGAATGAATCAATGAATTAATGAGGAAATGAAAGTAAATTCTGTGCCTCCTTCTTCTTTCTCCCTAGTAGAGGGATAAAATAATCTTTAAAGATAGCTAGCAGAAATTGCTGTTGCAGCACTATCTCATTTCTAGGGTAATTCTCATCCCTCATGAAATTGCTTTGGGCCTAGTGAAGTGGAAAAATCTTTGTTGTTGTTCAGTCATTAAGTCATGTCTGACTCTTTGGAACGCTATGGACTGCAGCACGCCAGGCTTCCCTGTCCTTCACCATCTCCTGGAGTTTGCTCAAACTTATGTCCATTGAGTTGGTGATGCCATCCAATGATCTTATCCTTTGTCATCACCTTCTCCCCCTGCCTTCAATCTTTCCCAGCATCAGGGTCTTTTCTAGTGAGACGGCTCTTCACATCAGGTGGCCAAAGTATTGGAGATTCAGCTTCGGCATCAGTCCTTCCAATGTGTATTCAGGGTTGATTTCCTTTAGGATTAACTGGTTTGATCTCCTTGCAGTCCAAGGGATTTTCAAGAGTCTTCTCCAGCACTACAGTTTGAAAGCATCAGTTCTTTGGCACTCAGCCTTCTTAGTGGTCCAATTCTCACATCTGTGCATTACTACTGAAAAAAACCATAGCTTTGACTACATGGACTGGATTCTGACATATGTGGCCACTTCTCCCAAGTGGCCCATACTAAGAAAAGATAAGGAAGTTGGAGGGAGATTTATTTAAGAACTTTCTAATTCACTTCTCTAAATTGGAACCTAGAAAAGTCATGATTTTGAACCCCTCTAAGAAATCTCAGAAGAATATCAGATGAAACTGTAACTAAATTACTTGACTCTTGGTTTGTTTTGGCTTGCCTTCCAAATTAAACTGATTAGCTTTTCTTCAAGCAGTCTTCAAAATAATCCTTTTGTTACAAGTCTTCCTACCACCCATTCCCTTACATGACACATGTTTATTCCATCTGTAGCAGTATCTGGACAAGAAATAACTGAGCTCAGAATTGTATGTCTCTTCTTAACAAGCAGGATGTATAATTTTCTTGAAAAGGGATAGCTATGAAATTCATCCACCATTTGTTATTTTTGCTTCATATCAGGTTTCTGAGAGCTTAGTATTATAACTGATTCCTAACCCTATATATCTGTGAGAAATACAGAGGAACCTCTTTATTTGGTTAACTTCAAATTTAGTGTGAAATCATATTCCTTCACATTAATCAGGGCATGTGTTCATGCACAAAAATATTAAGCCACTAGATACTGTGTACTGGTATAGGAGCCTCAAGGATGAAAACCATCTAGTTTTCTGTTCCTCTATCTATTTTTCAAGTAAATTTGAATTCTGATTGAACCTGAAGGGAGAAACTGGAAAGAACCTCCACTTACCCCTCCAAGGACTGTGTATGTTGTGGTTTCTGGGATCAGTGCCAACACAGATACAACTATCATGAATACTGCTGTTACCACTGAGTTGATAATATCCTGAAAACACAGAATAGAAAGATCAGCATTGCATGAAGATCACCAAGAGAATGAATCTGCTCCCTAAAGATTTTGAAAATTCCATTTTTTTAAAAACAAATTTATTTAGTTTAAATAAATAGCTTAGTTTTAGGAAGTCAAACTGCTATTGTAAAATGACATGTATATTGTATTTGGTCTACAATGATGTCTAATGGGTCTCTTAATGTATGACACACCAATCATTAATTCCTTATTAGGGCTTATTTGTTTTTTGTTGAAAGGTAGTTGGAGAGAGAACTCATCTGGTTAGGACTGGGTATGTCTTATGTGGAAGGTTTAAAGTAGAAGTCAGAATGCTCAGTTTTAATAAGTGTGGAGTGGTCTAAACCATAAAACAACTTTATAATGTTACTCCAAATGCAATTAATAAAACTTTGAGTGGGATAAACTTAATTTTTTGGGGAAAAAAAAACCTCCCACACATCTGTATGCAACAGCTGGCCACTTATGCAATCATTTCTGATGATGTAGCTCATTCATGTAATAATTACTTGAAATGAAGCATTTCTGAACTGTGGCTTTAAGAGGTGCAACTTACATTTGGAATGGATGTATACTGTGGAAAAGGTAAGTCGTCTTTATTCTGGAATAGTTTATGTATATTAGCAGATAACTGTAGCAGGAAGGAATTATTAACATAGAAATCTTCCAAACCCTGGTAACTTAGAAAAGTAGTTATTACAAAGAAAACAGGAAGAGATTCAATGGGGACAGGGCAAGAGTAGATGATACACTTAGACAGGAAAAAAGTCCTCGTCTGCAGGAGATATTGAGACTAGCTGTCCTAGGTTAGTCCTCCTTTCTGCTGGGTATTTTGCTGTTTCAAGGCAACAGACCACACCTCTGCTCCAGACAGATAGCCGGCCTCCTGGTAGTAATTTGAATAAGTATATAAATGGCTTCAGATAAAGATGGTGTTCTAGGAAGGGTAGAGAATAACGGCTGGGGCCGGGGGGGAGGGAAGCATGCATCTGCCCCAGAATATCAGTGATCCTTAATAGTGGTTTCAAGCCTTGTTTGTCTATTAAAAACCAAACATCAGTATGCCATGGAGCAGACTATAAATTTAATTACAAAAATGGAGGTGTCATAGAAATTTTGAGCCTGTTCTTACATATCACCACAAAAACCTGGGCTGCCTCACTGTGTGTGTTTTCTGTCGCTGGAGCACTTGAGGGGACCAGTCAGAGGACACCTGCTCTATGAACTGTGTTAGGTTCTACACCTCTGGGACAATGACATGCATCACAGATCTGTTGTGCAGGTGACCAAGCCCTTTCCTGATCAGTGAAGACAGGATATTGATAGGAGTATTGATATTGATAGAAGTATTGACAGGTTAATTGGAGTCTTCCGCCATCTTGGTGTCCTTCACTTATGTTATAGGCATTGTCCCCAGTTGTGCTCCGGCCTCGCTCCTGTCTGCCACTCTGCAGGGACCTCACTCTGTTCATTATCCTCTTTGGTTCCTGGCCAGGTTTCTTCAACTCAGTGCTGTCCCTCTGCCCACAGCCATCTCCTTACCTGCTCAGTCTAATTATTCCCACCACTTTACTGTCACTAGTCCACACCGGGGCCTCTATTAATACAGTGAATATATATGTATAAATTTTTTCTGGGCTTTCTCTCCTTACTTTTAACATTAGTCACCTCTCCTTTCTTCTCAAAATGTTCTCCTCTCTTGACTTCTGGGACACGGGTCTCCCTTGGGTCCTCTCCTTTCCACTCACTCCTCCTTTTCATGCCAGATGTTGATATTTCCCAGTCTTACCTTCATCTAGCTTTACTCTCCCTCAGAGCCATTTTCCCATCATGAGGTGATAATTCCCCCAAAGTTGTAGCTCTAACTTCTCTCCTAAGCCTCAGACCTGAATATTTCCATCTGAATGTCCCATAAGGCACTAAAACCTTCAATTTCTCAAGTCGGACTCATTATCCACCTCTCCCCTCGAATAAACCTATTCTTCCTCCTAAACTTCCTGTCTTGTTACCCTCTTAAGACGGTTCTTTAAATGGCAGCTCTCCTTGATTTTTCTGTTACCTGATCCTATCAGTTTTCATCAACACTCTTTCTCTCCAGGTACAGTTTTAACCTTGATTTAGGCCTTTCTCATTTTCATATCTGGATTATGATAACAGACTTTTAAGGGGTCTATGAGACCCACCTCTGGTTTGTCCCTCTTCAAGCCATTATTGACATTGCCACCAGCGATCTCCTCAAATATAAGCTAATTGTGTCACTCTACTTAGAAACCTCCCATAGCTTCCAGTGGCTTTTGGGTTAAAACCCAGGGCACTCAAATTCTTGCATGCTCTGACCTCCTACTGCCACTCAAACCTCTACTCTTGCCCCCTCTCTGCTTCGTGGCCACTCAGAACTCCTGCAGGTCCTTGAGGGTCCAGCTTTTTCTCCACCTAGAACCGCACACACACACTGTTCCCTGTACTGGGAGAACCCTCAGCCCTGTTATCAGTCAGATGACTACTTTTCATCCTCCAGCTCTCAACTCAGGCATAGTTTTCCTCAGGCAAGCCTATTATGATTTGGTTTCCTTCTCCTCCTAGGAACCTCCACACCATCCAGGGAGCACCTATTAATATTATACTGAATTGTTCATCAATCTTGCTTCCTGGCTATATGGAAAGTCTGTCAGTTGCAAGATTTGTGTTTTGTTTTCTCAAAGGGCCTAGTATAGACCCTGGGATTAGCAGATACTTAATATTTGCGGAATAAATGATTTCATGGGCTCAAGAGCAGAGAGGAGTCTGGGTTTCATGACAGTGTGATAACTGAGTTGACCAGATAGCATCATTTCTTAGAGTACAGTATCAGCCCAGGGTGAGTCTCAGAGATTTGGAGACTACTTTTCAGTATGCTGCACATGGGCCACGCTCCCTCTCGTGTATTCTGTGAAATTTATTTTCCAAGTTTATTACTGAAACATGGAAGAAGCTCCAGAGAATTATTACAGTTTGGGGGAAAAAAATAAATGCTAAAATGTGTTAAGTTTTATTAACCTTGGAAAAGCAGAGTGTGAAGAGCACTATATAACTTTTAGGGTGTAAGATGAACAGGATGTGAACCATGTTCATCATCTCTTTGGGATAACTTAGCTGAGTCCTTTCTGCCGCTAAACGATGTGACAGGACCACCTAAGGAAGCTTTTGTCATCTCCTGTCCAGCCTTGCTGTAGTCAGCTCCAGCTCCACAGTGGAGCACAAGGAGGAGTTTGGAGAGATGCCACAGAGATCCTATCCTTCCCCCAGCTCTCCACTTTGGGGACTTTCTCAGCTTGTGATTAGCCTGAAATGCTCATCATTGGCCTTCAAAAGTGGTTCCAGAAGGTGCCACCTTAAGGCATGTTTATGGTTTGAGAATAGCTCTAAAGTCCTCTCTCCTTAATACAGGTTGAAGTGAAGTGTTAGTTGCTCATGTGCAACTCCCTGCGATCCCATGGATGGAAGCCCGCCAGGCTCCTCTGTCCATTGGATTTTCCAGGCAAGAATACTGGAGTGGGTTGCCATTTCCTACTCCAGGGGATCTTCCCGACCCAGGGATCTTGGGTCACCTGCATTGCAGGAGGATTCTTTACCTGCTGAGCCACCAGGCAAGTCCCCTAATACAGGGTTAGTCAGCTTGGATATGAGTGCTCTGGAACCCATAAGGATGAGACCAGTGCAACTACCAGTCCAGCCAAAGGGTGGAAAGGCAGCAGGGGTCTCAGAAAGGAGACCTAAGGAAACAGGATTCTGGGGCTAAGACTTGAGAGAGGAGCAGTGAAGTTGCTCTGGTTTTCCTAGAACCAACTTATGGTCTAGGCTGACAGGCCAAGAATCTTAGCTAATATCTTCAGCTTGCCTATTTCAAGAGTTTCTGGACCATTTGGGTGCTCCACTGGGCAGCTATTCCTAAAGCTGTGAGTATGACAGGTAAAGTCCGTATGCTACTGAATAAGGTTCTACAAGATGAGTTAAAAATTATTTAGCATCAATGATGACAGACATTTTAAAGTAAGATAACATTGTGCTTTATTCAGCCTCTAAATTATTTTGATTTTCCATTTAGTGATCAGGGATATGTAAGATGTAGATACTTGTGTATCTGGCTCCATCTCTGTTCCCTAATTTTGAGGTCATATCAACATGAACTTTAAAGGGAGGTAAGGATTAAGAATGCTCTATGATTTTATTTGGCCATGATCTTAAATTTAAATTTATTTTGATGATCTACCCCTAAGTCAATTTCCCTAACAGAAACATCAGCCATATCTACCGATAGATGGAGCTCCGAGGAGAAGCCATGCTCAATGGTTGCTCTGGTTCCCTGAGGATCTCCCCGGAGCACAATAGCAGTGGATAGAGTTCCTCCTTCCTAAGCCTGTTAGAGATTCCTTAAAGGTTTACGAAAACTAAACAACAGAGTTTATTAAAATGTATCTTTATGGCAGGAAAAAGTAGTTAACAATGAAACTGAACACTTACAAGTAAAGGCCAAAATAAACAGCTAATTAATTGATCAAGTCTGAATATATATAAAACTATGAAAAAGAAAGTAGCAGTGGCTTCAAATCCAGTGACAACAATGTACGGCTCTGGTGCTTGTGCTAGGATGAAAAGGGTCATAGATGTCACAACTAGTGCCTAGAGAAAAAAAAAAAAGATCTCTTCAGTGATTATTGAACAAGTTTAAGCTGTAAAAATGATCAATTCTAAAATGACAAAATAAATGGGTTTTTTCTTTATATACACACACACACACATCTAAAAGAGGCAGACTAAAATGTACGGATGTCGACTTCTCTTTTCATTTTAGAGAACTAGGTATCCCTTTCTGTTTTGTTTAATTAATTTCTCCACTTGTATACCTAATACCATCACTTCCCACATCCATTCCCTTGATCTTTTCCCACTAAATACCTCCCTTTCCCTCTCATACCTTCAATCTCTCCTCCACTAGCTCCTTTCCTCATCATCTTATCAACATATCTAAGTTATCTTCTCTCTCTCTTTTTAAATAATATTTATTTATTTATTTGGCTGTGCTGAGTCTTACTTGCTGCATGTGGGACCTAGTTCCCTGACCAGGGATCGAACCTGGGTCACCTGAATTAGGAGTATGGAGCCTTAGCCACTGGACTACCAGGGAAGTCTCTAAGTTACCTTCTCTTAAAACGTACACACCCCTTCCTTTCATCTGCTCCCCATAGAAATTCCCATTTTCTACTTCTCCCTATAATGCTTCTCAAAAAAAGCCTGTGTACTGGCTGTTATAATTCCTTATTTTCCTCATCATTCCTTAACATGTAACAAAAATCTGGAATCTACTGTCAAAGTTAAACTTAGAATGTTGCCATGAAAAACACTGGGGGTGCTTCTCTGGTGGCTAAGTGGTGAAGAATCCATCTACCAATGCAGAAGACACAGGCTCGATCCCTTGTCTGAGAGGATCCACATGCTATGGAGCAGCTAAGCCTGAGCACCACAATTATTGAGCCTGTGCTCTAGAGCCCAGGAGCCACAACTGCTGAGCCCACGTGCTATAACTTCTGAAGCCCACAAGCTCTAGAGCCTGTTCTCTGCAACAAGAGAAGCTGCCACAATGAGAAGCTTGTGCACTGCAACTAGAGAGCAGCCCCGGCTTGCTGAAACTAGAGAAAAGCCCATGTGGCAATGAAGACCCAGCACAGTCAAAAATAAAAATTATTTTTTTAAAAAGAAAAATACTGGGAAGGAAAGTTTAAAACAAAGTGTCAGAGAAAAACAATTCTCTGAAGAACCCTGTGGAGAAGAAAAGGAAAAAGAAAAAAAAAAAACCCAATTCTGGTACATCACTTTTTAATATATTTTCTCTTATGTAAACATAATGCAATCAGAATGAACAAAAATTTAAGTGAAAAAAAAAACCCAAGATAATTAATCTAATCTAATTTCCTCATTTCCAAATGAAGATATAAAAAAGAGAACTGATAAGTGACTTAAAGGAAAAAATAAGCTGGTAGGTCCCTGAGAGTCTGTTGATGTTGTGATCTTCTTACAGGAGATACAGCTTTATCCAAAGTCTCTGTGGACTTGGAAAATGGTTTTGGCAGGAGTCTTTGCTGATTAGACTTTTATGATCAGTCTGTCAGCATCCACATTCTCTTTTTAACCTTGGATCTATATAGGCTACTTATTCATAAGTCTATCAGTTACTTTATTAGTGTAAAAGTAGCTTACTTTGAAACTTCTAAATTGGTCAGTTTCTTTTACAGTAAATATAACTAGTTTACTAAATAACTTGTTCTCTATAATTAATATAATTACTATCAGCAACATATCTCAAATCACTTCATTTACTCTACTGAACCAAATAAGGTCTTGAGTTCATGGGTTATGAAATCAAGGGTCACTTTTTCAGTCCCCATCATCTGTAACCTTGGAATTGGGTACCTTTCCCATGATTTCAGTCACCCTGGGTTCTCTCCCAATCCATACTTAACAGGTCTTATAATTTTCCTGTCTCCTGGCCTTCATTTTCAGTTATTTCATTAATATCTCAAACATTGCTTCGTCTCTCTATGTAGACTGCTTTTGCCAAGATCATCAATGACTTCAGAATTACTAGATTTAACAAACGTCTTTCAATCCTTATGCTACTGGACCCCCCATGACTTACTTGCTTTTGGCTTTTCCCTACTTTTCTGCTTCTTGACTCCCGTGTCACCTCTTTGAGCTCTTATTCCTCTGAAACCATTCTCCCTTGGTGGGCTTTCCTTTTACGCATCACTTTAAAATACTGACATTTGTTTAGATTCTATCCACAACCCGCTCAACAGATCTGAGTCTCTATCCCAGGTGTATCTTTAACATCTCACACACAAACAGCCATTTAGAACATCTGAATAACCTACAGGAATCTTCAATTCACCGTGGGGAAAACTGATGTCACCTTGTCCCTTGCTCCTGTATTCACTATCTTAATTGGTGATACGACCATCTCTCTTTTCACCTGCCCTGGAAACCTAAGATCACTGCTCCAACTTACTGCCCACAACAGACCAATCATCAGGTCCTGCTGACTTAATGCCTAAACATTTTGGGAATCCACTTAGTCACTCCAGTTACTGCTCTTCAGTATCTTTTCCTTGAACTAATATGACAAAGATACTATAGTGAAATTTCTAAAATGAAGATCTGTGCAACTCTCCACCTGTTTAAAACCCTTCAGTGGCTCCCCATGGTTTTCGGAATAGAGCCTCCCTTCACCATGGTGTTCAAATCTTCCATGACTCAGCTCCTGTCTACTTTAGCAAAGAGCTGTTGACAATTTACAGGATGATTCCAGCCTTCAATTCTTAGTCCTCATCTTATTTGAACTGTTATCACTATATGTCACTGTTGATCATTCTCTTGAGAATTTTCTTCATTTGGCTTCTAGGACACTGTACTCTTGGTTCCTCTCACTTCCCTTATTGCTCTCTCTCATTCTTCCAAAGAAGAATGGTGGCTCAGACAATAAAGAATCTGCCATCAATGCAGGAGACCTGGGTTCGATCTCTGGGTTAGGAAAATCCCCTGGAGAAGGGAACGGCTTCCCACTCCAGTATTCTGGTCTGGAGAATTCTATGGACAGAGGAGCCCGGCAGGCTACAGTCCATGGGGTCACAAAGAATCGGACATGATTCAGCGACTTTCACTTTCATTCTCCTCTGTTGGTTCTTCCTCCTCCCCCCAACCTCTTAATGTTGAAGTGTTCCAGGGCTCAATCCATGGTCCTCTTCTCCACTCTATGTACAATCACCTCTTGATGACCTCATCAGTCTTATGACTTTAAATACCTCTATTTCTGCAGTGGCTTCCTGGTGGCTCAATGGTAAAGAATATGCCTGCAGTGCAGGAGTTGCAGGAGACTTGGGTTCGATCCCTGAGTCAGGAAGATCCCATGGAGGAAAACACGGCTACCCACTGTAATATTTGTGCCTGGAGCATCCCATGGACAGAGGAGCCTGGCGGGCTACAGTCCATAGGGTCACACAGAATTGGACATGACTGAAGGAACTTAGCACACATTTTTGCAGTGCCAGTCTCTCCTACAATCCAGTCTTGTATGTTCCAAATGCCTATTCAGTATTGCCACTTGAATGTCTAATAGACATCTCTAACAATGAAATCCAAAATTGAACTTCTGTTTCTCTGGCTACATCTGCTTTACCCACAGGCTTTCAGTGGATGGCAGTTCCATTCTTCCAGTTGCTTAGGCCAAAAACTTCGGTGGGATCTCGGACTCCTCTGTCTTTTTCACACCACACCTGGTTCATCAGCAAATCTTGTTGGGGCTACTTTCAATATATATCCCAAATGTGACCATTTCTTATAACCTACTCTGCTAGAGGCCTGGTCTGAGCCACAGTCATCTCTTGCCCAGATTACTGCAGTAGTTCTAACTGATCATCTTTTTTTCTACCCTTGCCTCTGCAGGAATCCTCCTGTCCCCCAACCCCCCAGCCCCGTCTACTGTCACCATAGCTGCTGGTGCACTTTTAAAAGTGTTAGTCAGAGCATATAAAACTTTATTCAAAACCTTCATCTCCCACTGTGTCATGTTCCCATGTCACTCCACCCCAGCTGTACTGGTTTTCTTGCTTTTCCTTGAACACTTCAGGTACATTCCTGCCATAGGGCCATTGTACTGGGTTTTCCTTTGCCTAAAGCACTTCTTCCTTCACATTGGGTTGGCCAAAAAGTTCGTTTGGGGTTTTCTATAACATCTTATGGAAACAATGGAGCAATCTTTTTGGCTAACCCAATGTATTCATGGTTAACTCTCTCATCTCCCTTAATGCTTTGCTCAGAAGTCACCTCAACAGGGCCTAATCTGACCATTCTAGTCTTACAACCTGCATCCGTCCTCTTCAACCCTTCCTTCTCTTATGCTCTCTTACCTGGCTTTAGTTTTCTCTTGTTCCATAGCACCTACCCCCTTCTAGAATACTACACCATTTATCTATTTTTTTCTGTTTGTTGTTTTGTTTCCCTCCCTCCCACCCGAATACATAAACTCCATGAGTGCAAGGATCTTTGCTTTGTTCCCTGATATTTCCCAAGAGCCAGAAACAGTGCCTGGAACATGGCAGGCTTTCAATAAATATTTGTTGAATGGAAAAAATTAAGCAGCACTCAACTTTTTATGGATTCTTATAAATCATGCTTTTTTTTTTTTTTTGCCTCCAAGCCTTTACTCAGGTGACTGTCCCTTAAACCCTACCTGTGTCCCCCTAAGAAGGTTCCTGATACCTCCTTGTTTAAATGCTTCACTCTGTACCCTAACTTCATCTTATCAAACACCAAAACTATCTGCTTGTGTGTCTGACTCTGTCTAACCTGAAGGACCCCATGAGTCAGGGACTTTTGTCTTGGGTGTCTTTGTTGTTTCAAGTCCTAACTCAGGGCTGGGAAAACAGTAAATATTCAAAATGTTTGTGGAGGAAATTCATATGTCAAAAACTTTCTCACAAAATCCTGTTTCTCCTCCAGCGTTCCAGAGCTTTCAGAACCCCAGACCTTCCAGTCACTTCTTTCCTGATTATTTACTCCCAACCCAAGGGAATAATTTCTCTGTTCTTTGAAGTGAAAGTGTGTTAGTTGCCCAGTATGTCCAACTC